CCGTGAGGGCTCCTGCGTGGATTAGGACACAGGATCCTCTGCACAGCATTCATCTCGAATCCGTCACCACTTCAGCAAGTGCCAACTGAGCACACCCCTGGAGGAGCAGCCTTCTGCGCCCGCAGGGATGCGCGCACAGATCCGGGCCTCAAGAGGAGCTGCGCACAACAGAGGAAGTACGACTAGAGCACAGCAGTCTGCCAGCACGAGGCCTATGCATGCATCAAGTGCCCCACGGGTCAGAAATAAACGACTATGGAAGTTTGAATAGGAATAACTCAAATCCAGGTGGAAGAATCAGGAAGATCCTGCAGTAAAAAAGAATTTGAGTTGAACCATAACAGATGCCCGAATCCAGACAGGGGAAGATGGGAGACAATATCGCCAGCCCAAACAATGATATGTCAAAAGAGCTCCAAAATAAGCAAGTGGGAAGTAAGTGTGCCTGGCAGAGGGCCACACCATGGGTCTGAGGCGTAGGGTGCCATGAGAAGCAAGGGGGCTCCCCTGGAGAGGAGGATAGCTGGGCGAGCTGCAGAGGGCCTGGAGAGTCAGACTGGTGTGAGTGTGCGAGGGGGCAGGAGGCCTGGGAGGAGCTGAGCAAGTGCTGCTCATGGAAGGGAGAGGAGAGGGGATGGGTGCCTCGCCAGACAGGAGGGAAAGGATAGGAAGAAGTCACAGAGGAGAAACCCCCAGGAGGACAGCAGCAGCGGTCCACAATGAGGCGAGCGACCAATAAGCACTGGAAGACAGAACTCTGGACGGCCAGCCACACTAAGGGAGCACTCGAGTCTTTCCTCTCAAGTGTGTGTAACGAGCATGTCTACCTAACACTTGCTGGAGATACAAGGTCAATGGGTCGAGTCTCCTGCTTGACCCTCTGAAGCTGTAGTTTCCTCTAAAACACTGGGAGAACAACTGGAGGCCATCTCAAATGAGTGCCATATAGTTTCAATGAGATTATGTAAGGGCTAAGAACATACTGGGCACACAGGGCTGCAAACACCAGATGTCGCTCCCCTGTGAGGGCCACGTGCCCCAGCAGGCCTCACCCCTCGGCAAAAGGACCTGGGTCAAAGAATAACTTGTATGATGGGTTGAGAAACTTGAGTAGTCTGCACTTTTTGGCTTCAGAATGCAAAGAATTCACTCCCTTTGCCTATGAGCCAGATCACCCCTGATTTGTGTACTGCTGTGATCGTTATTCTCAGGAAGCCTGCCTCTGGCACATCCTGACCTAATGCACATCCTGACCATTGGCTTTTTTTCGTATGCCGAATTCGGCATAATAAATCAATTTGTTTGTTTACATTTCTTCCTACCCTCATTCTGTTAAAAATTTAAATCACTTAAACACATACAATAAAGTGAGAAAAAAGTTGGATTAAATCAGAATTAGGAAAATTATACTAAGACAGAAATTCAGGACCGGGGGATATAGCTTTGGCAGCCCAGGGCCCGAGAGAGCCTTCAAAGCCACCGAAGACTTGGCACCCCTCAAGCAGATCAATGAGGAGGCTCTACTGAGGTCAGGATATAGCTGTCCATAGAGAAAAAGCATATGCCAATTGCTCAAGGAAGCAAAAATTCCTAGTTTCACATCTGAAAGAAATTTCTCACATAAGTCATCCTTCAGGGCACACAAGTGACAAAGTGCTCTGCTATTCTAAGGGGTCCAGGAGGCAGAGGCACCCCCGGGAGCTACTGAAGCACATCCTCGCTCTCACAGGCCCCCAGGCCATCGTCTATCTGATGCCCTCTGAAGAGCCCTCATGTAGTGAGCCTGCACCAATAGCATCCTTACACCTGTGAACCCACCACAATTCAGTGAGAGAATGCAGTTCACACGCTTCTGAGAAGCGTTACACATATTAACACCAGTGCAAGATCAAATTAGTGTTTTTTAAAACTCTGTCAGGAAGAAAAAGAGGAAAACTTGGTAATATGGCCATTTGAAACTAGAAAGATTAAAAGTAAAAATGAAACAAAATTTTATAAGGAAGATAAATTATTTAAATAATTTTAGGCCAGCCCCATGGCTTAGCGGTTAAGTGTGTGTGTTCCACTGCTGGCGGCCCGGGTTCAGATCCCAGGCTCGCACCGACGCACCGCTTCTCCGGCTGTGCTGAGGCCACGTCCCACATACAGCAACTAAAAGGATGTGCAGCTGTGACATACAACTATCTACTGGGGCTTTGGGGGGAAAAAATAAATAAATAAAATTATTTAAAAAATAAATAAATAATTTTAAATAAATTTAAATTTATTTAATAAATAAATTTAAATTATTACTTATGCCAGTAATAAGAAGAGTATCCAATGATACAAAATATGACTCATAACTAAAAAACTTCTCTTTCCAATTCCTTAAACCTATATTTAAAGAACAGCTCCTTCCTTAAGGAATATTAATCTATTGGCCTAGTTTTTTTCCTATAGAAATTTCCATAAGTCTTTAGTAATTTATGTGCAAAAGATTTAAGAATACTGTATCATTTGACGTATACATGATATCATTACACAGAAAATACTTAAAGTCTTTTACTTTTTCTAAAAATTTCCATTTAAAAATAATTTTTAATTTAATTAAAAATATACCCATACATGCTAGTTACACGGGTGTAATTCACTGGATGAAATTCACTGAGTTGTACGCTTAGGAATCATGTATTTTTTTCATGCAAATTATATTTTAATAAAAAGTTTAACTCATTTATAAACACTGAAATAAATATTTTCAATAAGTCTTAGTCCAAATAAAATGGAACAAAGTACATGTGTGTGTGCACGTGGAAGAGGTAAAACCTTGCATACGAAAGTACACATCACCACCACGCACCTGACAGATCTAGGGAACACATGGAGTTTACCGCCATTCTGACGAATATAGGGTTAAAAATGGCACTTAAACTCAAAACACAGGAGAACAAAGCTGAACCTAAATTAAAAGGTAATACAACAGGAAACAAAGAGAAAAAAGCTGCAACAATAGGAATTCTTTGTACCTATTATACTGGAAATCTAACAATTTGCTATATCCAAGACACACACGACTCTAGAGGTACTGTTGATCTTATTTCTCTCACATTATCCGGGTCCACATAATGCCTTTCCGACTAGAATTCTTTGAAAGCAAATGCACCCTCTAGCCAGACCAAAAAAAAAAAAGTCTGGGTTGGTGGGTAAGGGGGAAAGCAGAGCTGTTTTCAGTTACAAAGGAACACTATACACCAAACTGACTGAATCATCCCAGGAGCATTAAATATGGTAAATGGAATCCTCTCTGCTAGCAATTAACATAAATTAAATGTTGATGGGAATTTTACTGGTGTCATGATCCTTAATTTTACTGCATGTATATTTTACTGTATTGGAAACAGAACCAGCTTCATTATTTCTTGCATTGTCATTATCACTAATGGATTTTACCATAATGAGATCCCACCTGTATCTTGGATTATTTGCTTGACTTGTTTCTTTTTATCACAGCTGAAACACAACTGCAAAGAACACCATGGCTCTGATTTCCTCTTCTGTTCACAACTGATTTACAGGAGAAGACTTTAAGCTTTGCTGTTGGGCTGCAAGTCTCTGCAATCTTACTCCAATATTTCCCCAGCACTGCTCCTTTCTACTTTGAAAACCATCAAGTTCTGTCTGTCAGGGGACAGCACTCAGCAGCATATTAAGTTCATATGTTCACAATAAGAAAGGCCATGCCTTTGCTGTCAGCTTCCACTGCTAAAACACTCCGCACCACATTATTCATGATCCTGTGCTTTACAAAAGCAACTCACAACATAACAATGCTCGCTATATACAAGTTAAGCCCAGTATATCCCAAAGTGTCAAAGAAGTGCCCTACAAAATAGCACTATTTCACAAACATATCATCTGAGAAACGAAAATTCTCTAGTTAAGTTCTATGGTAATAAACTAAAACAAGAGGGTTGCGCTTGCTTTTGGAAATACAAGAGGGTATTGTTAACCTTTTCCTGTGACTGTGATGCCAGGAGTATGTAATTAGGTTATTTCTAAGAAACTAAAAGTGCTCAAGCCATCCTGATGTGCTCTGAGCATGAAATCTTACTAATTTTCCAAGACAGCAAAAATCTCTAGCTTATTTCCATTTTCATGCAACTGTGACTTTTAAGATGACAGACAGGAATAAAACACTGGCTTTCAGAAGTCATTTTATAAGGCAATTACATTTTTGCTAGTTACATTTTTACCTCGGTTAGACACTGGTTCCATTTCATATGGTCCTGCCCCTCAACTTGGATCTGATTCAGCTATGTGAATTGCTACTGGATCACAAATGTATAGCTCTAAGTTGTGTTTTTATATGTATAGTTATACATATAACTGATGCCATCTTCATTAATATGTCCTTTACTCTTAAGCAACTGCAATGTTAGACTGTGTTGCCAACATTTTGATGATTTCTCAAGCTTTATATTTTCTAGTGTTTCTCGTTTCCTGAAGATAGTTATGCTTCCTAAAACAGCATATATACTGTATTTTTAAATAGGAGAAAACAGAGTCAAAGAACAGCTAGTTGATGTTCATCAACTTTCCTTCCCCTTAACTAAGTAAAAAAAACCCACACAAACCGAAAACAAGCTAAGGGAAGCCCGTCTCCTGCCCATAACAGCTCAGAAGAAGCCCAAATGAATCCCGAAGAAAGGGATAAGTGTGCAAGTGCTTTTCATCTTCACAAGGACAACAGAAAATATACGTGGCACAATTTCAGGAGAGTTCAGAAACTTCTGGATCTTGCCTGAAAAGGAAAAGCAGCTAAAAAGACCCTTTTGGAAAGAAGGTGGAAAACCCTTCAATGATACATTTAAAGGGCCTTGGGTTTTTAACCTAGAAACACTCTCTGAGTGTTCAAAGCCTTCAAGCAGCAGCCAAAGGATCCTGGCTGCCTCAACTATACTCCAAGTGGACTACTCACTGTAGCTGCCACCGCAGGAAGCCTCAAGGGACGTCATACCCACCTGGTCACATCCTGCATTCACCAATTCCTGCAGCATTTGTCGGTTTACTTCTGCCGCTGTGGAAGTGCCCGATTCATTAGCAAAAGGCAACAAGGAATATCTGATTTCTCTCAAAGCTTTCTGGTAAGGTCCGAACTTTGGGGTGGTTCTCAGCTGCTGCTGCTGCCTGGTGGCATCCTTGCTCCCCAGGACCTTGGTGTCCAGAGAAGTGTCAGTATTTGGTCCCACAGGCAGCCCTTGAGAGGAAGACTTGGATGGCTGCTTTAACCCCTCGCGAATCTCCTGCAGTCGCTGCCGGCTATTTCCAGAATAAGTCGTGGCAGGAAAAGTCTTTGGCCTCATTGTTAGTCCAGTTTCCTTTTACCATACATACAATCTTCTTAAAGTGTTTTATTATTTAAAAAAAAGTCAACAGTATCAGTTAGTTGTAAACATACTTTCAAAACAATTTCCTTTCGAAAATTTTCTTTCCTTCAATTTTTGTAGTTCCTATAGAGAACCTGAAATTGTCCAGAGTCTTCATTTTGAAGATCTTCACTATCTGAAAAAGAAAACAGGAAGAAAATGTTCATTTGTGGTTTTCATATAATGTTAACAATACTTTTCAGAAACGGAAAATGATCTTGAAAATATTCCAGTTGGAAAGACGAAGAAAGATCTTTCTTAATCTTTCTTAATCTACCACCTCTCAAAAATGATAAAATACTGCTCAAGTCTGGCTGGAGCACAGACACCTAGGGCTGTCCCGAGAGGTTTCCTGGAGTATGTCACCTGCAATAAAGCAAATCTCCACAAGCTAATACTGACCTATAAATATTCAACTCAGGGCAAGTAGTAACAATTGATAGCTCATTTAAAATATTTTATTATATTGGGCCGGCCCCATGGCTTTGCGGTTAAGTGCATGCGCTCCACTGCTGGCGGCCCGGGTTCGGATCCCGGGCGCGCACCGTCGCACCGCTTCTCCGGCCATGCTGAGGCCGCGTCCCACATACGGCAACTAGAAGGCTGTGCAACTATGACATACAACTATCTACTGGGGCTTTGGGGGAAAAAATAAATTTAAAAAAAAAATTAAAATATTTTATTATAATATAATTTCATTTTGAAATCCACAGCTTGAGTATTTAGGGTTAAACTTTCTACATGGGGTTCTGGATTTCTGCCTTGTTCCTAATAACTAACCAACTCCGGGCCCACACCATTGTCCTTTATCTCCGTGGCTTTACTAACCTCTCCACCCACCTGAAGCTGTGGTCTTTCCACATCTTCAGAAATTTTGCCTTATAAAACCCTCCCAAATTTCCCGAAAGATACCACAAAACTTGTCACATTAAAGGTTGCAACTGTTGCAACTGAAAGTAGTTCCAACATAATGGATTATGAGATTTTGAAGGTAACTACTTCCCTGATTTTTTTACACAGCGGTCAATTTCTTATCAGCATTATGACCTAAATACCAAAATAAAAATGTCTTTCTTGTAGAAAATGATACTTATATGGAAGGGCACTGGTAAAAGCATGTGAGTGATTTCTTTCTCAAAGTACACTGTGACCACACTAACAACAAATGGCAATATCAAGAAGACTGGTTAGTACAGACCACCTACTACTACAGCATGGAAATGGGCTCTGTATACAGAACTAGATGTCACAAAGGCATTTTTCAATCATGAATTACACCTACCCCAGGCCTAATTCACTGAATACCCTGTTGTTCCTGCATTCAGAAAACGAAGTCAAGCCCAGCCCCTGACACTGCCTTTAGCAGCCAGCTCTACTGGAGGCAGCACCTAGCTCGTCACCTGTGGCTGGGTGACCTTGGACAAGTCATTTAACTTCCCTCCCCCTCACTCTGTGAAACAGATGACAACACTTGGCAAGAGGGTAGTGGTGAGCACTGAGTAAGATAATGCAGGTAACTGGCTGAGCAGTACTGGGACATCCTAAATGCTCGGGAAACGGTGCTTCCTGGCATGCGAATCACTATATTTATGGGATTAGCTGTCATAACCAGAGCACTGGTGCCCACATCGGCAAAGGCAAAGGCTGTGTGGTCCCTGGGCACGTCCCTGAAGCCCTTCTCCTCTGTAGCCCTTACCTCGTCCACTCACTCTAGCCCCACAGCACTCAATGAGCAGAGTTCAAAGGATAATCACTTTGAGTTTTAATGAACAAAGAAAAACTGATCCAAACAAGAGCATCCTTTAAAGGGAGAGGGGGGAAGGACTTTCAGTTTCAGCAAGAAGTTTTATTTATTTATTTTTTATTTTTTTTTATTTTATTTATTTTTTTTATTTTTAATTTTTTGTTTATT